GTGTTCCTTGATATCCTGGGCGGTTCCATCTGCAAACTTCATCATTGTGAAGTAGGCAACTAAGAATACAACAGTAGTTGCTTTTTCCTTGACAGTCGAGGTAATAAAGGTATCTACGACTGGAGTGCATCAAGAACCCAATTATTCCAGGTTTCGGGGTTTCCGTCACCAAAATCTTGCAATATTATTTTAGAAATGGCCCCGTTTGTCTCAGTAACATCTCCTACCCATACTGGCTAACTTTTCTCAGCAGAATGACAAGCAATATCCTCTTACAATAGTCCTCCAACAAATCATTCAACAAATTTGAAAATTCCTTGATCCAACAACAGTCAAGATTCAACCTCGAAGCATTATTCCAGGTATTATAATCTATCTTGTTTATCGATCCCTATCATGCTCGCTTGCAGCTGATTATTGCATAGAATTTACACAATAGTGACTTGGGATTTGTCCGTGCAATATCTTTCAAGCCAATATTTCAGCTTTTCTGTCGTTTTGCCGATCGATTTTATCACAGTAAATCCTTTCAAGTCAATATTTCAGATCCGACCCCTTTGACTGAAGTCTTACTGCGCATGTTCGCGCGCATTCCCGTTGGGACTATTGAGTTGTTTTGCGACACAGTTGGTATCGCCCACTGCGCTTATCCTACATTTTTGTTTCTACAACGAGGCTGGGTCTTGCGGCCAATTAATCCATCTTCCACTGCAAGAAAATGGTTGCAAAGGTGTTAATATTTATCATGGCCTTACCTATCGTAGTTACATGAAGGAATTTGGACGCTTTGGCCTCTTAGGCCTACCAAATAACCGCTGCTAAAGAACAACACGGGCCTATAAGCATAGTTCTGGAGAGGTTTCGGGACGTTTACGAAGTCCGAAGGTAGAAAACATTTCAAATTTTCTGCAGAATTAGGTTCTCTTGTCATACTAAAGTCCATGACTCTAGTTCGTGTTCGGTATCTGGGTTCCTAGAAGATCATTTTCAACCGAATCCATTGTCAAGCTGCAAATTCGTCCGACACAATGAATTACGGCGTAGCATGCACCCCATAAAAGACAAAGTGGAATCAAATGCTGTGGCAAGCATGCTTGGTATAGAGACTACGTCTAGAGCAGCGATTCATTCTCATCATTTTGCCTCGATCATACTACAATCCACCTGGTTCATCCAACTGACTCTGTGGGTTTCTCATTGCTGTTGAATCGATTGAAGAGCCAGGGACGGCAAAGATGGCGGAAATTTATTGATTCTTTCACAAGGTGACCAAAGAATAGTATCAATGAATGAGGCGAAGCCGATGTGATGTACACCTGTAAATGATTTGACCATGCAGTGGACAATATTCCGATCGTGAAATTCTCACATGCCCAGCCTATTGCCAAATCGATTGAAGAGCCAGGCGAGATGGTCGGACCTTATTGATTTTTTCACACAGTAACCGTAGAACAAATATCAATGAATGAGGCAAAGTACAAGTGTAAATGATTTGACCATCCAGTGGACGATATGCCGAATGTGAAATGCTAGCACTTTCTATACCGTCGAATTGCCTTCAATCACACGATCGACATATCCAAATGAGAATATATATAGGACTCTAGAGGAATAGATGCATAAATTTAGGCATTGCTGCCTGATTTGCATTCAAGGAAGGTACTGTGCTATTAAATCTTGCCCTTGCCTCTTGAGTAGATTAATTGTTCTAGGGGGAGAGCACCTGTCTTGCCCAAAGATGACCAATTTCAATCTTGTCGGATTCTCTAGCAAGTTGGACAAACACAATGAATTCCAAGCAACGAAACATGGTTTTATAGTCACCGTGCAATTAGATGATACATTGAAGGAGATATCCGTTACGAAGGGTGTCCTATCATCCCTGACTTTTGAGCGTCCCCTTTGTTAATTCATCTTGAGCGGTCAGAGCTAGTTTGGCTTGTCGATTCACACATTAGCTCATTGGTCAACTTACTTGGATATTCCTACCGGTGCTTGGTGTATGCTCTTTTGTCGGATTCTCCTAGTTGTTGGCACCGTTTGATTGTCGAATGGGGTTGTGGACCGTCATCTCCAAAACTAGTCTGGAATTCATCTTGAGCGGTCAGAGCTAGTTTGGCTTGTCAATTCACACATTAGCTCCTTGGTCAACTTACCTGGATATACCGTTTGGGCCACACTTTTTGTTTCGACAAAATGGTAGGTATCCTCGCTGACTAATTGTCGAATGGCCTTCATGTTCTGTTCTTATCTCAAATTCGTCTGGATCGCTCTGATTTCGTTCTGATGGTCGTTTCATTGTTTCGCTCGTACAAGGGCCTTTAATAAGAGGAGCAGCTTCCGTAGAAATTCTCACTTCTTTTCTGCCTTGGGACGCGTCTTTTTACTGCCACACCCGTCATGACCTCCTAGTGCCCAGCAGTAAACATGCTTCTTGCCTCTCAACGTGAGGCATTTCGACCTCAAGTCTGATGGGAGAAATGCAGCATGGCCACAAAGCATTTCCTGGTTGGAATGCTTCCTCCATTAAACCGCCATAGGAGATCTTCGATCATTCTTCGTTTGCATGCTGCTATGCCTGCTTCTGCTCTTCTTCTGGATTGTCCTTTCGTTCCTTCCCTACATGCCTCCGCTGATACTGGTGCTCTTCTGGCGGTCCCAACTGCATCCTCGAGGCACCCTCGCACTTCCCACTGCCCCTTTAAAGGGGGAGGAATAACGAAGAAACCACCCCTGGCATCGTTCACGCTCTTGAATCTTTGCTGTGTCTGCCTGCATATGGCATATTGGAGACATTTTAAAATTGTCTTGCCTTTGCTGGTGAGTATTCTTGACTACTGCAACGCACATTTGGTCTTGGCTCTTCTCATGTTTTGTTTTCAACGATTTCAACAGGATGCTTATCCTCATCGAGCATATTCTTCATGTGAACGGTTATATTTTTAAAGGTCTTGTCATTGCTGCTGGTAAGTAGTCTTGACTTCTTAACACATTGTTGGGCGTACTTCTTTTGTCTAACAAATTGTTCATTGATAAAAGAATTCTTACACATTAGTGTACTTCGAGGAATATTGATGGACACCGATACGATACGATTCGCGGAGCAACCAATCAATGGACATCAAGATGTCAGTGATTCAATTTTGATCGAATGCTATTTCAGCGAAGCAATTGAATTGCTCACATATCACTTGACTGTCAGCTCTATTTGGACTCTAAACATCTTGCAAGTCGACACAGTGCTGGTGGGTACGGTTACAGATGCTTATTCCATTGAATGCTGGTAGACCATTCAAGATTCTCAAAGCCACGTCTCTGCTTGGTCATCTTTTGAGACTTGCAGCTATCCACTTTCTTAGCCGTCTATGAGCTGGAGAACCCACCCTGTCCGTCAACACCTTTCATTGGCCTATAGCTGTTTGAAATGACACTTGCTATTTGCATTTGGGTAGAATTAAAATATATAGTTCGTCTTCAAGCAATATAATCTCCTGTAGAATGTCAACATTTAACCCAACCTTAGAATTCGATACTTCCAATGGAGAATATATTTTGAACCTGTATTCTGCACTGAAAGCGTCACAATATATTGCTGCATGTTATGTCAATAGCCTACAGGCTGTTGCAATGATGTCATGAAGTGATTTTATTCCAAGAATCCTGTCACATCTTAGAAACAGGCCCACCTGACACAACGTGCAATGGAAAATTTTAAGTTGATCCACAATAATGGGATTCATTAGGGGGGAGGAAATTTGAAATAATCGTCTGAAATAATTTCATCGATGGGAACCATAAATGAAATTGTTCGGGAATATTTTAAGTGACCATCAAAATAAGAATCTGCAATAAAGTCCTGCAATGGATAACTGCATAAGTATCTAAGGATATTCCAGAGAGATATTTCAGTAGAAAAAGAGAATTGTGGCCAAGATATACGACCGGAATTTTAAAAGAAATAATGGGGTCCCTGATGTGGAAGGCAGGTCAACTTCGGCGGTCATCAAGATGTCGCCTCCAGCATTCTTTTGATGCTTTGCGATGCTGACCTTGTTTGCAGAGTGCATCATGCCTTGCAATTTCTCATCTTCACCAACAATGGCATAGAACATGTTTATGTGATCCTCAAGTAATCGCGGCATCTTTATGGTCACAATGATCTTATCACCATCAAGCTCAACCCAGTACCTCTCTTTGTTGTTGTAGTAGCCAGAAGGTAGAAGCATTTCAACCGCGAGCATGTGGTCACCATTATTGTTAACAAAGGGAACAAAATTTGTGGGGGGTTTGAAGGTATTGTCGGCCTCGATGTCGTCACTTGTGGGCAAACCACCTAGAATCTTTGCTCTTTTGGGTGCAAAAGTCAAGGGGTAATCATCTTCAACATCGTCCTCAGTTAGGTATGCTTTGAGAATCATCGGAATAGTAGTAATGTTAGGGCCGGGTGACATTGCTTCCATCAAGAATGATCAACAGCATTTGCATTGCGTACCATCCAGCTCCTCTTTTTTCCCTCCATCTCTTAATTCATTTTGGAGTTTGTACCAGAAGGTTCTGAAAGTTCCTTGTGGAAAATTGCCTGTATCATCAACGGCTTTTTTCACATCTCCCAACTTGGTGTCTGGACCAATTTTGCCTGACTTCCACAGCGTCAAGATCTTTGGCACAAAACGGCTTTCCCAGACGCTGCGCTTCTGGTCGTTTCTTAGTGCTGGCAGCTTACCTTCAGGTTTTGGCATGCTTCTTTCAGAAGAATGTTGGTTGGCAAAGATCGTATGTGCTATTTTATGAGCCTATGTAAAGCATTGCCATTCGTCTGTTGTAAAAAAATAGTGTCTTGTCAACTTCGTTGTGTCCCACCAAACATGACCGACATCTTCTATTTAGATTTTAAAAAATCTCGCTCCCTCCGACAATTCCCTAAGAATCTCATTCTCCCTCCCATTTTCCCTCTCTTTTTTTCCGGGACATTCCTCGATTTATTCAGGAGATTCTCATGTCTGGGACCACATGAATTTCTGACGTGAATTCACGTCAGTGCATACGTGACCTTCTTCCTGGGTGCAGTCATCGCAAATTTCTATGACTGCATGGAAATTTGCAAACGATTACGTCATCATCAATGGGATTGCACCATAAGTATCTAAAAGCCAGCCGACCCATGGTGGTGGTACAAAAAAAAAGAGTCGAAAAAGTGTTGCAACTGTCCTCAAAACGTTTTAAAACGTTTTCAAAAAAAAGACAAACTTCTAGAGGTGTTTTCTTGCATCACAGTTGTTTTTAGTACGTTTTCTCACAACAGCATGCGAGAGTAGGTAAAAAGGACACTTTTAGTAGTTGAGTAGTTGAAAATCTGTTGGCGCAGTGTTGAGTTACGGCCTTTTAATGTTTGTGTTTTTTCCGGATTTTCGAGTTTTGACAAAGTCTACGTGCCGTATTCTCCATACTGTGTCGATCAAAGCTTGGGAACGCAAAGCAGCAGCAGTCTTGGGTGAAATGAAAAGGTGGAGACGCTGAAGAGACGCGCAACGACACTCTTGCTGTCAAGAAAACGGAGGTCCAAGTATGGGACTTTGTCGTCGACTGGTTTTTTGACGTTTTTACGACGTTTTAAAACGTTTCGTTGACGCGTCAACGACGAATTTTCGACGGTTTGCAAAACACTTTGGTGGTACAATAGAGACTTTTTTAGCATTTTTGTTAAGTACCCTTGAAAGGCGTAGGAGACACTGAGATGCAGAATTTGACAGTACAATACCTACAGACATCACACGTAGAATGTGAAAGCAACAAAAACACATGACGACGTTTTGACGACGTTTTGACGACGTTTTGACGACGTTTTGTTGTTTGAAGTTTTTTTTTTGCACACACAAGTTGTTTTCGTCGCTGAATACCGCTGGATGCACTAGCCTTCAACCATTTTTCAACATGGTATCTGTCCACGAACTCATCTCCATCTCAGAAACCATTCTCTCTGGTCGAGAGAGGAAAAGAGGCCGCAAACGGGCGCGCGCCGGAGAATCTTTTGTTGCACTGTTCAAGGTCATGCCATTCGTTGCAATGGAAGTGTGGGAACATTTGCAAGAACATACGAATATTCCTCGGCGAATCAAACCAAAGCATTTTCTGTGGACTTTATTTTTCTTGAAGCATTGTATGACAGAAAGATCAGCTGCTGTCTTGCTTGGATGCGATCGAAAGACCTATTGATATTACATCTGGTGTGTAATTGATTATGTTGCGTTGTTGAAAGATAAGGTGGTAAGTTCTATTTTCAAGTTGAATGCTGCTTCGTGGAAGTCTAGTAAATAATTTTGGCTGACAATTTTGCATGGTTTCAAAACAACCCAGATCCTTTGGGAGAACAGGCTTGAAAGCAGTGCCGCTGCTAAAGTTTCTGTTGATGGTACAGATTTTCGTACTGTGGAGTATTATCCATTTGATCCTCGACGGTGCTCCCATAAGTTCAAATGTGCTGCGCTGAGATATGAAGTTGCAATCGCAATCAAGACTGGCTTCATTGTTCATGTGAAAGGTCCCTTCAAGGCAGGAACTTGGACTGACAAAAAAATCGTCAAATTGGAACTCCATGGGAAGCTTGCGCCTGGCGAATATTACCTCGCAGATGGCGGATACACCAATAAAAATATACATACTTGTCTGACCTAGTCCTGTGGACCAAGGATCAGATCCCTGAACTTGCAAAACTTCTCACCTTGCAATGGCTTAGTCATGAAATCCGCAATCATATCGTCAGTTGGACAGTAATCGATCTTAACATTTCCTTTCTCAACTTGATCTGTG